TTAGGGACGGCTAGCGCAGATAGCCCTCGTGTATCTTTGACGTGAAATTCAAACAAATAAAAAAAAAACAGCTTTGAAATGTGAGGTTGGGGTATACTATGGGGTGGGGGTGGTAGTAGTTTCCCCGTCCTTTTTGACGGGATATACGCTAGCTGTTAATAATTAACACCTGTGTTAATGATTAATTGATACGATTGTAACTGATGATGTCTTTACAAGTGAACTCATGGTCGTAATAAATGAAACATTTGTGAAACATACACTTGTCTTTGTTTTCATCAATTCTATGATCATTAGTAAGAATGTTTGATCTAAAATATAAAATAATATGTTATCCACACCAAATCTGCTACATATAGGGCCGAAAAGACCTTTCGCTCAATACCAAGGCTACTTCAAACATAGTAGTGGCATAATCGCTATTTGTATTAGCAAACATCTTGAGAATAATGTAAATGACAAATACTTTTGTCTGGAATATGCAGTTACTTTCAAACAATAATGATGCTAAATACTTGTTTTGTTTTTAGTTAAGCACAATGCTATAAAATGTGCTCTGCCCACCACGGGTATCGAAACCCGGTTTATAGTGTTGTAAGTCCGCAGACATACCGCTTTGTCACTGGGAGGAAATATCATTGAAATTAATTGAGGTTTGAGTTTGAATTTCCACTCCTTAAAATAATGTGATTTATCGCCTTTTATGCAACTCTTGAGTTTTTATGCAAACTGTACATTACGATGAAAGTAATGTTTTTTATATCAAAAACAGAAAGAATTATCCGGAATATTCAAGTTATCTTTACAGCAATTAAAAAGCAAAAACACATTCGTTCTGACGTTCGATCTAAATATTTCTGTTTAGAATTGAGATGTCTACACAACACCAGATCGTAGTATATCCTGAAATCTACCACAGTAATATATATCGCTCTACAAGTATTATTAATATATAAAGAATACATCAAATAATTATACAGAAAATTTATACAAATAAATAAATCATTATACACCAAACTTTTGGTTTTTATACACAATATTAAAGCTCAAATTTAAAAGTAGAAATTACCTGACGCTACAATATAGACTATTGAGTGTAGAAATGAACCAAAACTGAAATGACAAAAATTATATGCTCGTCTATTCTTTCACTAGCTTATTAAACATTTAGGATTCTGTTTACAACAACGATGCTGTTGGAGAAAAATAATTTACGAAGTTGTCACTCAGGCGTTGACATCTAAAAAAATCATACTTTTGAAGCATTTCTCTTTTTCTATACTTATCATTCTCAAAACTTATTTAAAAATATCTTATCCGTGTTTCTTTAACACCAGAGGACGCTTGTAACAAAGCATTCTAATGCAAGAAGGTTAACAGGAAAATGTTCCCGAAATTTGATTTATATTGTTACGTCTCCGTTTGTTAATTGATTTTTCCGTAACTTCGTTCCAA